ATCTACATGGTCTTCAAGGCACATCTTCCTTCATCTACGGGGAGAAGGTCAGAATGCAATCTGCACACAGGATGAAGATGAGGCCTGATGGGAGGTAGAGAAATTGCAGTCATTCCCCCTTATCCAAAGTTTTGTTTCTGGAGCTTCAGCTAATAGCAGTCAACCATTGTCTAAAAATATTAAATAGAAATTTAGAGAAATAAACAATTTATAAGTTTTAAAGTGTACACTTTCGAAATGTGTGATGAAGTCTTCGCCATCTGGCTCTTTCCCACCCGGGATGTGTGAATCTCTTCTTTCTAGCATATCCACACTATATACACCGCCTGCTGTTAGCCACTTAGCAGCCGTCTCAGTTATCAGATTGACTGCAATGGTATTGCCGTGCTTACGTTCAAGTAACCCTTATTTAATTTCATAATGGCCCCAAAGTAGTGATTTTGGCAATTTATATATGCTCAAGAGAAATCATAAGTGCTTCCTTTAGGAGAAAAATTACAAGTTCATCATATGTACACATATGAAAACATATAGCATAATAGATTCAGTATCCACAGTCGAAGGGATCCCCTGTGGGTCTTGGAACACTTCCTCTGAGGATAAAGACAGACTACTGTATCGGCACGACTTCCCTGGTTCCCAGTAGTGCAGTCAAACTTGGGAACCAGGGAGTTAGAGCACCGGGCACGTGGTCAGCCAAGGACAAACTCAGAAACTGATGGCCATACTACCATCCCACATCGTTCCCACATCTGCTCCCTCCCCATTGTCTGTCTTCCCCAGTGGCAAAGTCCCTCATAGCTTCCTTCTGCCCAGCACTGGAGGCCTCTCACGCCCCTACTCCCTCCAGAATCCACTCAAGTGGGAAGCAGCAACCCATTCTGTGTAGAACTCACATTCCACAAAAACTCAAATCTGGCTTTTCTTGAATCACTCCTCTTCACCACCCAAACCCACCTGTCATTCAGTGTCCCTATAACCTTGTCATATAATCCTTTCTAAGGAGACTTTTCTGTCTCCTCTAGACTGTATTGATGCCTTCTGAGATACAAAAGTTACTATGTGCTGGGCATTATTCTGCTTTTTAAAAATGTGTGATTGTCATTGTCCCCATGTTATAGGTAGGAGAACAAAGACGGACAGTAACAAGCAAGTGGCAGAACTAAGATTTGGCCCCCAGCCTGGTCTCATCCTGGGCTCCTGGGGTCTGCTGCATATCCAAGATGATCTCCAGGCCTCACAATTAATTCTTCTTCGAAAGTTTTATGGGATAGCTCCTTGAAGGAAGAGGCAACCTTTGAATCTCTTCAGTGAGTGCTGCAGTGCATGGTAGTGACCACAGCAAATAGGAAAAGATAATATTTATCAGGTCTTATTCCATGACAAGCATGGTCATATATTATTATCAATTCATTTATAGAGACTGAAAGAGGTCTTTCTTTCTCCATACCATTACAATTTAGACTATCAAATGTCACAAGTTAGTGGTGGGTGAGGACTTCACAAAGAGAGCTGCCATTTTGGAAGGAGATGCCAGGCCCTTCACATGTGCCCTGCTTCCTCTAAGTCAGACCAAGCCCTTTTTTCAGATACCTCAGATACCACTTCTTTTCAGTGGTGATAAACTTGGTATTTTCTCAGTCAGTCCTTGCAAAACAACCTTGTGTGCTATGTTTTTAAAGCAACGTGGAGACAGGGTGGGTCTTATTATTGTGTATACATGTGTCTTGTATAATACTTTTTCAGTTATGGGCCACTAGTGGAATCCAACAATCCAGCTTGTGACTTCTACAGAATTCTAAATGCAAGAGAACAAGAGTAGTTCAGAGTTTCTCTTCTCTCTCTCTCTCTCTCTCTCTCTCTCTCTCTCTCTCTCTCTCTCTCTCTGTCTCTCTCTCTCTCTCTCTCTCTCTGTCTCTCATTCTCTCCCTCTCTCTTGCTCACGGGCACGCATGAGTGTGTGTGTGTTTGTGTGTGTGAGTTTTCCTGGCAAAGCTTTTTGTTTTTACATGAGAGTTTTACTCATGCTTCACATATTTGGAATTTAATATTCGATTAAAAGTCACTATTTGGCTAATCCTAGGGATAGAAAATCAAAGACATGCTGACACTGCTATAAACACATGTATGATCTCATTTAAGGACAAAGCATCGGTGCTATACTTCTGACTTCCTGAGCATTCTTCAGGGAGCAGGAGAAACCCTGAGTGAGGAATTGCCTGACCCAGGTCCCTCCTGGATTTCTGCCTTTGGAGGAAGTTTGTGAACTTCTTGGGATGTGTCCACCCATCATCTGGGAAAGAACTGCTCTTCCTACCCACAGAACCACTGTCATTCATGATGGGAACATGTGATAGGAGGGACCAAATCCAACAACAATGGATCCAGTGAGAATGGAAATAATTCAGTGGAGGGTTAGTCCTTCCCAAGAAAGATTAAAAGTAACAGAAAATTGGAGAATACAAGATCAACAATAATATAAGAGAAGAAAATAAAATCTCAGGGCTCAGAAACTTGCATTTTAATATGTCCTAAGCATGTGCATTGTTCCCAAGCCCAAAAGAAGGTCCCCAAAAGGTCCAAAGACACTTGCAACCTCTTGCAGACCTGCACAACTTAGCCCCTGCCAGGTGCATCTCCGAGGTGTTCGGACCAGCCAGAGGCACATGTGAAAGAGGTCTGAACGTAGAGCCAAGAGGCCACTGTGCTGCTCAGAGCAGAGTAGGTGGGCCTTCCCTGCACAGCAAAGCAGCAAGGCAAGTGACACTTGTGGTGAGCCCTGTTCCCACACCATCCCCATCTAAAATACAGTAAAGTAAAACTGATGTAGATAGTGACAACTCAGGACAGAAGGAAATAGATGAATTATGTCCAGAAAACTTTGCGTAAGAATGCAGGAAATTGAAGAGTATATTTCAAAAATACTGTCACCAAAAAAGTGTTCAAATTTAAATGCTGCTGGAGAAAGGGTTAAAATTCTCCTCCATCAAAAACATCACTTTTCTAGAAGAATTTACTTATCCCGATTCTGGACAACTGGTATTATATTTGGCAACACAGCCTTTTTCTCTCCAATGAGGAAGAAGCTAGAAAACGTTGATTTTTCTTTGCACCTTGAAACTTACACATCATTGCTCAGATTTTGCAAGTTGATATGGGCTATAGCCAGTGTTTTATGACCATTTAGCATGGTCATGGGCTGTGCTACCTAATGCACAGAAATTATCTCATGTGGCACCCAGAGCTCCTTCATGGGGCCGGTACTGGTTCCAGGTAACTAAAGAGGAAACTGAGTCTTGGAGACATTACTTAAAGGATCTGAAGCCAAAAAAGAACAGTGTCAGGGTCCAAAGCCATGTTCTACAGGCTCTGGAGCCCAGCATCTAACTGCTGGGTGAATCTGCAAAGGAAAGAAACCCAAAGCAGAACTGAGATAGCATGCAGACACATCAGTTCTCGTGAGAAAGACAAGTTGGTTGTTAAGCAAAATCCCACATGACCATTTTCTCAGCTGGATTTAGATATTCGCTCCAAGCAATGTTAAAAGCCATCCCTGTGGTCTGAGTCTGATCCCAGCAGTAGCTATGGGTTCCTTCAGCAAAGGACAGTGTTTTTTACAAAAGAAAGGACTCCTCTCATTTGGCTCTAAAATCAGGAAATAAAGAGCCAGGAGAGGCCAGAAGCTATAATCTGGTTTATTTCATGGTAGTCTTCTATTAAATCAGGGAGAGAGCCCATGATTGCTCCAGCAGACTGCAAAGGTTCCACCATGCCCAACCCAAGCTCTACGTCCCCATGTAAAGGGCTCTGTGGATGACCATCTAGCAGGCACAATTCTATCAGTGACGAAAGCTGGCACTCAGTGTTTAGCGAAGAGCCTTGGTGTTTCAGCTGGGTATCTCTCAGCGATTACTGGAAAGGTGACTTGACTTGAGCACTGGTGGGCTCCTACAAGTTCTGGGCACTGCCCAGTGCACACATAGAGGCCATTCCTGTGTTTGGGTGCCAGGTACAAGCATGGGGACAAAGAACACAGAAGTCATAGGAACCTTCACAAACCCTGCTCCACAGCTGTCTGGAACTGTTCTGTGGACCTGCAATTCTCAGCCTGAAAACCTAGCTCTTGAAGGAATTTAAGTTTTGACTTTCTACTATTTCTAATTTGTTTGTTTCTGGAAAAGAGGGTGGGGGAAAAAAGGAAAGGAGATGGAAGAGATGCATTGCATGGCCTCCATCCTATTGTTCCTCATCATGTGAAACTCATTATTTCACTGATAAATCAATGATGATCCTGCCAGAAAATCCCTGGGAGGCATCAAGGGAGCCCACAGGCCATTGGGCTCTCAGATATGGTTTTGTGCTATCTCAAAACCATTCAGATCCCTCTGTCTGTCGCAGGAGCACCTGCTTTCTCACCCTTTATTTCTACCCACTGGCCTGAGTAAAGACAGCTGAGCTGCTGGCATTTATGGATCTTACTCAGAATGAGATGTGTAAGCAACATGCTGCAGTTAAATGGAGGTGCAGGCAAAGGTGGGGTGCAGGACACTGAGGTCCTGAAGCCACTCTGCAGCACAGAAACCAACAGTGGCAAGTAGAAAAAGTCCTTAAGGCAGACTTTAAGCAAAGGCCAGTAGCATAGAGTTATTCATAAACAAGCTGGGATGGCTTCAAAGCACCACCTGGCTACAGGCAGGCAAGACAGAAATGAGACAAGAGTATGGGTCTCCACAGTTTCTGGTGCCTTGCCATTCCACTACTCCTTGTCAACACGGCAGGAAGAATCCTTTCTTTAATGTGACAGTAGTGTTTCCACAACTGGAGTTGTACTAAATACGCTGCTGCCAAGGCTGGTATCTTTGCAATGTTGGGCAGCCCACAGTCACGTAAGCTCAGAGTGTCTTCCGCTGAAGTGAAGTCAACTTCAGAAACATACCTGCCAGTCTTGGAAGAAGCAGTGTGTACTGTCTTAGCACTCAGGATATCATTAGTTCTCACAGTAAATATGTTATCATTTATTTTCATAATCTAGCATTAATCTGCTTTCCTGGAAAATAGTCATGGGCTGGCACAACAGATTTCCAACAAACTTATTAATAAAGGAAGGAACAAATTTGTTCTTTGATAGCTCAGGGAGAAAACCAAGAACACTGCCTGGAAGGTTCAGATTCAGCGTTTATTTTAGAAATTCTGATGTGTATAATTTTTAGCTCTCTAAAAAGAACCTGACATCTTGGCAGCAAAAACACTTTTGTTCTCCAGGAATGCTCAACATGAAGCTGACTTGTGTTGTTAGGAAGATCAGTCCACGAATTGCATCAGTCCCCTCGCCTTCCTTTCTGGGATGGGTGGGAAGGTGCCCACACACCAGCACAAGGAGTGGGGATATACCCGGAAATACAGTTGTGGCTCCAGCCTCACAGAGCTCCAGTTGAAGGGCAAGCTGGCATGACACACTTTTAGATTTTCTTCGATGTTACATCCCATGGCTTGGCAGTTAGTGAAACCTCAATGTCTGATATTCCTCCCCGCAGTAACTTCAAGTTTCTGACTCCATGTTTTCTTCTGTCTTTTGTTCTTATGCTGGCCTTAGAGTCAGTTGTGGCTTTTCTGATAAAAGACAACTAGGGTGCCCAAGAATGTATCTGGAGGTAAACCAGAGTCACTACCCATACATCTACACCACACTGGTTTGTATCCTAACTCTGCCCTGTGCAGAGCCAGTGCCATCATGGAGATTTCAGAGAATAACCAGGGGTTGTTGGCTTATGTTCTTCTGACCTCTGACTCCAGCGAGTATGAACTGATAAGTCACTGGCTCACCGTGGGACTTAAGTCTTCTTCTTTAGTTATTGCCCATCAAGAAAAAAAAAGATATGTACACAAGAGGAGAAGTTTTATCACATGAAGACCAACCCAGAAAGGCCTACAACAGAAAGTTCTGTTTCTGAAAGCCAGAAGCCACTACACCTATGTCACAGCCCTCTCCATGCATTGGCCTTCTTCTCTCCTCCCCCTCTAACCACTCCCTCACCTACATTCTCCAGGCAAGGCAGTTTGGCCATCCCCTGTCACTTTCATTCAACACTATTCCCTGATCACATACTTATTATATCCTTATTTTGGGCAGCATGCTCTGTGTCCCTCGTGGGGCTTGCCTTCCAGTAGGGTAAAGCCCCAAGCAGATGAGCTACCAGCTAGTGATAAGGCAAAGGAGACAAGCCAAACAGAAGAGGGGGTGAATAGTCAGCTTTACATCACTATAACAAAGTACCTGATGCATGCCACTTATGAAGTAATGAGAGGTTGATTTTTGCTGATGGCTCCAGAAGCTTAAGTGCAAGATCAGACAGCCCTGTTTGTTTGGGCCTCTGGTGAAGGAGTCACATTATGGCTGGAGCATGGATCAGAACAAGTGCCCAAGATGTGAGCCTGGAAGCAGAGATAGAACAAGAGAGACTGAGGTCCCTCAGGCCCCTTCAAGTACACACTTTGATGACCTGAGGATCTCCTCTGAGGCCTACTTCCTAATGGCTCACAGCACCTCCCAGTGCTGCCACCCTGGGGACTAAGGCTTTGAGGGACACACTTGAGAGTCCCTTCTGGAGGAAGAGTTCGGGCTAGAGCTGCTCCTCTGAGGATGGCTTTGTGAAGCCCAAGTGTCTGCCTTAGGAAGACTAAGTGTCTGTGGGTTTTAAGGGATCCTATTCACATGCAAGCCATAGCAGGGAGCATAGGGTTGTTAGTGATGAAGGCTGCTATTTTATTTAAGGCAGTTTTAGAAGGCTTTTCAGATGAGGGGATGTTTGGGCAGAAACCAGGAAGAATGTTGTCATATTTTCTGGTGGAAAGCATGCCAGATGGGGGATAACATGAGCAAAACATGGAGACCGCAAAAGCAAGGGACGGGGCCGGTGTGGCCAGCCCAAGAAGGGCAGAAGCAAGTGATAACAGATAAGAGCAAGGGAGGAGACAGAGGCAGGCCACGCAAGCCACAGAGGCCACTTGAAGGCTTTGGCTCCTGGCTCAGTGGGAGACACAAAGCCACTGAGGCAGTCAAGCTGAGGATTATAAGCTTTAAGGACCCTCTGTCAGTTCTCCAATGGACAGATGGTAGGAGCTGGGAGGGATGTGGCCCAGACAGAGACCTTCCAAGCAGGCTGGCAAGATATGAATGCACCTTGGACAGCCAGGCAGAGCTGGAAGCGATGAGAGGGCTAGATTCTGGGTGTGTTTTGGAGATGAAGCCAACTGACTGTGTGATAAACTGGTCAAGCACTGTGAAAGAAAGAAATGAGTCCAGCAGGACTTCAACACTGGGTGGCCATGCAGCCCCCACCCCACCCCAGAGAGCTCAACAAAGCCACTCTCTAAGCAAAGAGAAAACTCCCTCTCCAGGAGGAGTCGGGGCCAGAGCTATTCCTCCTGGGACGGCTCACCCACTGAATGTCTGTAGCTCCTTCCTCTCCTCTTGCCTGCACTGGCGGAGGGAGTCAAACCATCCTCTGGCAGGAAGACATCCAAAGGGAACTTTTCCTAGAATTGTGAGTAACAGTGAGCTGCTAAAAATGAGGCCTGACTTTACAGGGCACATACTGGAAATGAAGGCTATTAATAGGTTCCTGCAGGCCGGCTGCCATGCCGAGACAGGCCGTAAGGCCGTGAGCTCACCCAGCAGCATCCATGGGGGTGGGAAGTAGAATTCTAGTGCCTCAGTGTAAGCCAGGGAAAGAAAATCATTTCACCGAGTTGCCTTAAGAATGCAAAAAGAGTCAGAACCATTTCCCAGTGTATGGCTGAACAGAGCCATGAGCCAGTGTGTAAATATTTGAGCTACACAGAAATCTGAAAGCTCAGGGAGTAGACAGGCTGTGTCAGTGCCTGCTGCCTGGCTCTGCCTTTGCAGGAATCGCATGAATAGATGCCTCGGTTCTCCTCAGCACACTTACACCTTGTGGAGGGCAGGCACTGGGAGGGTCCTGGGAAACCCAGTGGAGCACTGGGACAGAGGAAATCAAGCAGTAAGAATGAAAGTCTTTGAAAAACTGCCCATTTCTCTCAAGTGGCAAGAAGGAAAAAAAAAACCACCCTCAGATCCTCAGTTTCCATTGTATGCCTCTTTTCCTAGCCAACATTTTGGAGAAGTATTGGTTTCTGATGAAATCAGCTCATCAACTTGGCATAGAAAAGATCAGGCTGCATGGAGATCTTATTTTGAACCCCAACTCTATCTATTCCCAGCTGATCTTGGACAAGCTGACCTAATATTTTTGAGCTTAGTTTTCTCATCAGTAAAATGGGCATAAAATTACTTCATACTTACACAGTACTGCGAGACTCAAATGGGAAACATTTGATTGGTCCATAGTGAGAAGCTGCCAGTGTGCATTTGCTTTCCTGGTTTCTAATGGAAGAGAAAAATAGACTTTAAGCCAAGGGAACTTTGCACAGCCTGGGAATCCAGAAGGAGAACGTTGCAATAGCATACTTTCCAAGTAGTGAGTATATATTGAGTATAGCTGTCAAGAACAGTGTCCACTTCTCTCCCTCCAGAAAGTCCTCTATGCTAATTCAGTATTGCAGAATCCACTCGGAATTTGTCCAGCGTACAATGAACAGAAACTGCTTTACTCTTTCCCTTAGTCTTACAGGCTTGTCACGTTTTTCGAAAAAAGGAGAGGACCAGTTGAGGGTATTCTTGGAATGTCAAGACTCAGGAAGCTCCATGCGGTCTCTGGCCTCCTCTGTCCACTTCTCAGTTTCACCTGTGCTTCACAAAAACAAACAAACAAGCAAACGAAAAACCCAGAGACTACTTAAGTAGAAACAGACTGGGACTGAGTCAGTCCACTTGCGCCTCCCCCACCCCCACCCCCACCCCCACCCTCTCTCAGAACAGACTCGGGAGGAATCTAAGTCTCACTGTCAAATTCACAAAATCCCAAACCCACTGAGTGAGCAACAGATGAGAGAAATTGTTCCACATCCCACCGAGAGGAAATGAACGGGACTGGAAGAAGAATGTGCTGCGTGGTGTGAAAGCTGTTTTGATTCCTGATGCTGAACATCTGCCACATGGCGCAGGGAGCCACCATCTCGTACACACAGCAAGGACCCTCTGTGCACAGGCGGGAGCTGTGGCCCTCAGCAGCTGTGGGAACGCGGACAGGAAGCAGGGGACCCTGGAAGAGAGAGTAGGAGTGCATCCTGTGGGGATTGATAAAAACGAACGGCCAGGCTGTGGGAACCTCTTCCCAGCAAACACGTGAGCTCAGGAATTTCCTGAGCCAAAGATCTGACTCTAGTTATTTGTTGTATCTGTTTATTTATTCTCCAGGAGATTTTGCATAATTTGGACAAAGGGAAAGTAAATGGTAAAGCCAAACGTATATGACTGCCCTTTGGAAGTGTCTGCTTACAGATCCTGGGCAAAGGGATATGAGTTCGTAATTCAGAACTTGCCTCCTGGCTAAAGGGTTAAGCGGAGCAGGAGGCCCTGGAAGAGGAAGCCAGGTGGGACTGTCAGAACTCTCCCCTGGACAGACAGACAGCACAGGAAACACCATCAGCCCTGTTAGGTAGCTGCTCCCTCCTGCACAGTGAGGGTTTTCAGCCTGCCTCCTCAGCCAGCTCCAGCCAGCAAAGAGGAGCTCTTTCTGAGTCATACAACCAGGAAGCCATTTGTCACTATCAGAGACCTTATCACACTCTGGCATTTCTCTAAATTTCCAAGAAAGTTGCTCCATAATTTTTACTAAGACTTATCATTCATCTAGCTGACCCTGTGTATTAGAGTCATAAGCAATGAAGTACATGTTGGGTAAAATTATGTTTCTAGTGGTTATTGGTAGCAGACGCTTACTTTTCCATTCTTTGAAGGTAACTATTGAATAGATGTTTTTTGGCTCCTCTCTTTCAGCATCTGCCATGACACAGGTTCGGATAATAGCCACTGCCACCAAGTTGTCTAAGGCCTGGTCCTCTCTGGCTCTGTGCCTTTCAGATCTCCAGAAGGTTTGAACACCGAGGAGGCTTCAACTTCTTCCTGTGAGGAGAGAGGAGAGCAGCTTGGAAGGCTCGTTCTCAGTACAGCTCATTTTCTCATGGGGATTCCTCTCCCTCTGAAGCCTGCTTGGTGGACCATGTGGCTTCATTCAGGCACTCAGTGAATACTCAATAAATGCTCCTCGAATTGAGTGCGCCTTCTTAGAATCCTCAGCATTCCCACCAGGACGTCCTACACCCCAGTGACATCCCTAATATCTCCGTACACCATCTAGGCTTCAGACCCAGCTTCCTCCGAGACCACTGCTGCATCTTTGTTTCACATTCTCACAGGTGTGGGTCTCACTGATGTGAGCTTCATTTCCATGCGGTCTAGAGAGTTTTCTTTTTCTTAAAGAAATACTCTCTTATTTATTGCATTCCTTTATTCCCCTCCTTCCTCTTTCTCTTCTTTCCTTTCCTTGAAGGCCATATCCCCTTGGAGAACATGGCAAGGCTCCAGCTCCAGCAAGACCCCCTGTGGCCTGGGACACTGGCCACCCTGGGGCTCTCAAAGCGTGGCCTTACTCCCATTGCCTTTCAGCAAGTGCTCCAGAACTTCTTTCCTGGCCCTAACTAAGTCTGTCTCTCTCCTGTGTGTTTATAAATGCGCCTTTTACTGTGGGTTGTCACGGACAGCAGTTCACCTGACAAATTTCACCCCAACCTCAGGTTTTACTGAGAAATGTGACCATCCACCTGCACCCAGCAAACTAAAGGGAAGGAGGTCAGGAGCAAGGATCCGCCCACAGAACGCAAGAGTCACAAAGCAGTGTTCAAAAGACTCCAGGATTTGGAGCTGAACATCTCTTCTGATTTCCCAAAGCTGATGGAAATATTCTGGAGGTATTAATAGAATGCAGATGTTGGAGAATGCGACTTAGAATTCTGCTGAACAAATGACCCTGTTGGGAGGTCGTTTCCAGTCTCCGGGGACATTCCGCAGAGGGCCCAGCTGATTGTCTCATATTGAAACAACATGTCCAAAACACATTCCCGCCAGAAGAAAGCGGAACAGGGCTCCTCTGACCAAATATAAATCATGAGGCAAAGGGCAACTGAGCTCCCTAGTCCTGCCCGCCCTCCTCCTCCCTGACTCACTCTTTCGCAGCCCTCCCGTCCCCCAAGGAAAACAGCGTGTCTAGGAAGAGACTGCCAAGCCAAGCTGACTCAGGCGCCAGCCGGCCTAGCAGCACACATGGCGGCCGTTTGGGGAGTTCACAGCTTTCTGCGCTGTGGCCCTGATGTTTTTGCTTCACTGCAATTTGTTTCTGATCTTAAGTCAAGTCCTTACAATGCTGGGATCCCCTAGAGAGTTTATACTTTGACCTTACGACAACACCAGAGGCTAAGAAAAAAAATTAGATACGAAGGAAATTCTGTTGTTGGGAAGTGGATGGCAGAGGACAGGGCAGGGAACTTGCTACTAAAGTGAAAGTGTTACTTGTGAAATCATTGCCCATCCCATAAAAAGAACAGGGTGTCTGTCAAGAGACAAGGTGCCAAACTGGAAAGAAAGTCTTCTTTCAAAGGCCGCCAAACCTGGCCATCTTCGGTGAGCTGTGTGTTCAAGGAAGGACACAAATTAGCTGGGCTGGGGCAGGAGACCTTCCACAGCAGCCTCTGGCTGGTGACCGGCACAGACACTGGACTGGGCCTTTCATAGCTCTGTTTGCTATGAAAACGTGGAAGAGCCCACCGTATCCTTTGCTGGCCAGCCCTGCCAGCCACCACCCTTTGGGGCAGACCCAGAGTTTTGGACCAGAAGCTGCGGTCCAGATTCCTCGGCCACCAGGGCTTCGGGTGAGTAGAGGACACTGGGCAGAGCGGAGAGGGCCTCTGCTCTCACCACGCAGAGGTGGGGTAGGAGGACACAGGCAAGGGCTGGGTGCCATGGACATGTTGACACCAGAGCTCCTGCTGAGCAAAGGCACCCTGTCCCTGGAGTCCTACCCAATCATGTGCCCTCAGGAACAGATGCCCCGGGTGACACATAGTGCCTAGCCTGGAAACAGCAGGGACACCAAAACAGGAAGCCCTTCAAGGACTGGGCAAGGTCTGAGCCCTGACTCTGGGGGCAGAACAGGGAAGGCAATCAGAGGTGGGCTTTCAGAGGTGGGCTTCCAGATGAGGAGGACACTGAATTCAAATCTCTAGATCTGAAGGAAAGGGCCGGGAACGTCAGCATGCCCTGATGGAGGAAGCGAAAAGCCTTTCTCACACGGAGACTTTTGCAGAGGAGGCCCCCCCAGGGTCGTGGGCTGCTCACTGGAAATCCCCACACACAGGCTGAAAACAACACAGAGCACTAGAGCTATGGAAAGGGTCTCACCCACATATGAGTGTGTGAGCAAACATGACCAGTTCAAAAGAAATTCCAAGTTGAAAAGAAATAGTCAAAATTATTTTTTTTCCTTTGCGAATTTATCAAAAAGCAAGATAGCGAACATCCTAAGCAGCTAAATGTTTGGGCTTCCTTAAAAAATAAAACATTCCATTGAGAAAGGACACCCAGGAGGCCTGCTTTGAGGTGCCATGTCTGGGGGCTGTCAGCCCCCTGCCCCAGGGAAGGAGAAGTTGAGAGCTGTCTGTACACTGCAGGGATCAGGGATTGTGAAAGCCAAGGAGAGAAATCGAATCCAATTTGGGGATCAAGACAGCTCGGGCTCTGGAATTAGAATGTCGTCAGCTTATGAGTTACCAGAGAGCAGAAAAAGTATTTCAAACAAGGGCAAACAAGGGGAACTGCATCTGCAAAGGCCTAGAGAAGAACTGAGAATTATTTGCCCGGGCGTAGTATGGGGAGCAGGTGGGAGGTACAGAGAAGAGGGTGATGGAGAGACAGGTAACCCTAACAATGAGCCCGGCCTGGACCACAGACCCTGTTCAGGTTTGTTTGTTTGTTTCTTTGTTTGTTTGTTTGTTGTGGTACTGGGGATTGAACCCAGAGCCTTTCCTACTGAGCTACATTCCCAACCCTCTTTTTATGTTTTATTTTGAGACAAATTCTTGCTAAGTCTCTAAGCTGCCCAGGCTGAGCCCAAACCTGCATCCTCCCACCTAAGCCTCCCACAGTTATGGGATTCTAGGCCTGTGACACCACACTCAGCTTTGCTAACTTTTTTATTAAGATAAAATATGCATAAAATGTACCATCCTATTTTTAAACGTACAGTCCGGAAAAGTTAAGTACTTTCATATTACTGTGCAACCATCACTTCCATCCACCTCTGGAAATCTTTATCTATCAAAACCCAAACGCTGCACCCATTAAACCCTAACTCCTCCCAAATCCTGCCAGTCACCATCTCATTTTCTGTCTCTGTGAAATTGAGCGTTCTACCTTACAGAAGTGGAATCACACAGAATTTGTCTTTTCTGTGATTGGCTTCTTAAAAGCTTAGCGTGATATTCTCAAGGCACATCCATGTTGTAGCATATATCAGAGTCTCCTTCCTTTTTAAGGCTGAATAGTAATCCATGTGAATATAGACTATGTTGTGTTTATCCACTTATCCATCAGTGGACACTCTTTGCTGTTGTGAATAAGGCTGCTATACACAAAGATATATAAATATTTCTTCAAGATTCTGTATTCCCTTCTTTCAGCAATGTACCCAGAAGTGGGATGCCTGGACTTTATGACAATTCTATTTTTAATTTTTTAAGGCATTTCCATACTGCTTTCTAAAGCAGCTGCACCATTTTACATTCCCATCAATAGGAAAGAAAGGTACCAATTTCTTCATATCTTCACCAAGACCTGATATAAGGATTGGACTTTTGAAAAGAACAGTCTTGGAGGGTTCTTTTAAACATCCACTGCAGAGGGCTAAGTTAGCCATAGCCCCTTGTTCTTGGTGCACTGTCATTAATATGTACAAGGTCTTCTTTGCTATTATTTTTAATTCCATTGTATCCCATATAACACTTCCATTCATTTCCCCTGCAAAGGCAATATTTTAAAATTTCATTGCTTCATATTTGAATGTGTCCTTACAAAGTGTGGTTTATAGTTTTGTGTGAATGAATTCTTTTTTAAAAATTCTTGATGTATGTAAATGATTGTGTAATTTACCTTATCGATTCCTTATGTTAATGAAGAAATCAGCCCCTGGCTGGGTCCCAGGACAGTCCTGTACTTGACTTGGCTTATGGGGCCAGGTCCCCATCGCAAATGGCT